GACTGTGTATGTTTGATCGCTGTACCACGAGAATGAATCAAGAATATCTGTAAATAAAATTTTCAACAAAACTTAATTTAACTATAATACGTGAATTCTGTTAACAATTAAAAAGTCCTTTACGAGATGACACCCCATATGCAATTGATTATGGAAATTAAAACCAATGATTTAAACTATAACAATCTGTTGAACATTATCTCTTCCGAGAGAGGTATCGAGTATGATCCGAAACGCCGGAGAAAATGTATAAAATAAATTCAATATTTCCTGTACTTCTGTAAATGTTTTTCAAATTTCCCCCTAATCTAACATATTTCAATATTATTTTTATCTAGATGTTTTTCAAAGTTCAATTTCAATTTTTTCTTTAACTGCTTGTCATGCAGCACTAATTTTCTGCTTATTACATTCTCATTGCAGACTACATGGCCGTTGTCTGAAACGAAGGCTCATAGTCTTTTTGATTTTGAATCACCCTCGCTATGGGATCGGGTGAATTTTTTCTTCAGACTTTTGAATGATACCACTTTACAAATTTTGGCGGTACCTATCGTGGCTAAGAACTGCGATTTGACCGAAAGACCAAGAATAATGCTGCAAATCGCAGACTCGACGCACGGTTCGCAAAATAATGAAGAGTTCGAGTAGGAACAAGTAACGAATGACTTTATTCTGTTCCAAGCACTGGGGTCCTCAGTACATGTGAGGACTGAGAACAAAGGTTTGTATACGAAGGCAAACAGACTGAGCATATGCCATTTTTAGTTACTGCACTGCTCCCATGACTCCTACGAGAATCGAACTAGAGCCGACATCGACCAGATTAGCCTTCTCCATACAATGAGTCATTTAATAACGGCAAGTTTCCAAGTTTAGTAGAATCATGAAAGGCTATACACAATAAACAGACGACAAATAAATAATTTCCATTAAAATTTTTATACTTTACCAGCAGCATGTGACTATCCATAACTATATTTCAACTTGTCTGTGATCCTTAAGGTGAGACGACTGTCACGCTAGTCGAAACCTAATCTTATGCATGACAGTGTATTGTATAAAAACTTAAGTTAGATGTACATCCCTCAGCGTCAAGCCGGATACAATTTTTACGATTTAGTATAAACGCGAAAACACGAAATAAAAGAATAATCACAAATCTCTAACATCCAAGGTAACATAAAATTAAGCACACAACACCTGAGCACGGACAATCAACACTAAGCACTACAGTAACAAGATCTGCCTTTTGATCTGAGTGTCGTAACCTACTCAGCCACTGTCTTGAGGTTCATACAAAAAGAAATGTCCAATATTTCGAGCTGCATATTTTCGTATGTCATCAACTGAATACGAATGAAGCCGAGAAATTGTTTATGCAAAATTCCGCTGCCTTGCATTGCTAAGCTTTGGTGTACCTCCTCAACACGTAACAGGAGCACTACGTGAAGGTTACGTCCTGCATGCGAATCATCTCCAACACGACTACAGAACACCTTGGCACTGACTCGTCAAGAATTAAGTCATCAAAGTTAAACAAGATTCAAACAAGACAGGGGCGCCGTGGACACTTAGTTCATAGTTGGAAGATGATGTTCTGTCCGCAGTGTGCCTGCGACCATGAAGATCGGACCATACGGCACATTATTTCCGAATGCTCGCAGCGAAAGTTCTAAGGAAGCATAGCTGATGTGCGGAATGATGC